AAATACCTTCGGGTCCCCACCCTGCCCTGACACCCGGGGGGGGGAGCCAAAAAAAAAGTCCTATTGGCTGCTGGCACTTGCATCACTTGTTGTCAGGCAGAGTGCTGCTCCAGAGGTCTCCAGTTCAGAAATGATGCTGGACACAGCCCTCAGCCCCATGGCCACTCGGTGGGATTTCACTGCCCACACCACGCCACGGGCAGGTCACAGTGCCCAGCCTGGTGACAACCGGTGCCATGGGCCCAGAGGCTTTGATAGCCCTGATGGGGCAGGAGGTGAGAAAATGGAGGTGGCAGTGGGCTGGGGAAGGTGAGAGGAAACTTGTGAGGAAGGAAGTGGGGTGCAGAGCTGGGACGCAGGGGTGGGACACCATGGTGGGGACCCCCCACACCAGAAGCTGAGCAGGACCTTCTGTGGGGGCACAGTGCCAGGGTACACCCCTCCTCCCTGGCCTTCTCCCCTGCTGCTGAGAAAAGCTGCACTTGGGCTCAAGCCCCTCCTTGAGGGTCACTTTGGACTCTCCCTGTGTGGGGGTCCTTGGCCAGCCCTTCTCAGGCTGAGGGGGCGATGACTAAAGGATCAAGGGCTTTCAAGCCCTCCTTCCCTCTAGCACAACTTTGCTTTGCCTGCAGCAGGGCAGAACCCCCAAAGCCAAGAGATGAGGAACAGCCCCCTAAAGTGAGTGACCCCAAAGCACCAGTGGGAGTGGGGCAATGAGAGTCTCCAGCCCCTGCACAGCCCCACAAGTGCTACATGGGCAGGAGCAGCCATCTACCCTGTAATGCTGGGTTTTGGTGGTTTTACACAATGTCCCACAGCAGCCCAGGGTAACACGCCCCACTGCCTGTGCTGGGCCCAGGGTCACACTGAGCCCAGCACCAAGCTGGCTGCAGTGTCAGGACTCAGCATGACCACAGCCAGAGTTCAGCCAAAAGAGAAACAGAGAATGTGGAATTACAAGTCCTACCTAACCAGGCACCACTGGTTATGTGGAAAACACACTGGGGCGAGCAGGGACCTGTTGTTTCAGCGACTCCATTTCTTTTCCTGATTCAGTCCTGAGCCTCCCAGCTGGCAGAACAGCCCTGGGAGAGTGGACAAAGGGATCCTCTCAGAGCACTTACAGGGAGTAGGACAGGGTCTCCTGGCAGATGCTGTTCCTGGAGGAAATGTGGTGGGATGATGCTCCTGCGTTCCAGGTGGGAAACTGCAGCCCCACACACAGGAAGGGTTTTGGTGCCTAGAGTCTGCTCCCAACCCTGCAACCCAGCTGAGAAAGGTCTGGGCACACAGGGGTTCACACAGCACTGGCCCAGAGGTGTCCATCAGCCTCACCTGAGGCCTGTTATAAAGCTGTATTTAGAAACCATCAGAGGGATTTGCAAAGAAAATAAAAAGGGAGAGAAAATGGAGAGAAAAGAGAAGAAAGAGAAGTAAAAAAAGGGGAAGAAAAAGGGGGGAAAAAGCAAAGAACACAAAAGCCTTCCATACATTTTTTTTGTCTCTCCCCTCATGGACACTGGGACTTTTGGGGGACACACAGGTTTTCCTCACAGCCCCAGTCCCCACTCAGCTCCTCATTTTGGGATCACAAACTCTGCCTCAAGGCCACACGCCTGGTGCATTCCGTGACTAGCCTCAGCCATAAGGGGAACCAGAGAAAGTTTGAACAGGAACTTCACAGACAAAACCACAGCAATTCCATGGAGCTGGGCTGGCTCTGCAAACCACAGACGTGGGTGATAACCTGGGGGTGGGGAACAGCCCCCTTCCCAGGCAGGCTGAGTTTCTCAAGCCCCAGCCTGGAGAAAGACAGCCCTAAGTCAGCCCCTGCTCCACACAAACATTCCCAGTCAGCTCTTCAGGGCTTCACACACAACTTTCTGCCCAGGGCTGTGACACTCAGTGTGTTCTCAGTCTGTGAATTGATTTTACAGGGAAGACACAGACACTTTCAGAGAGCAGCTTCCATCCTGTCAGACCCTCTTCACTCTCCCATTGCCTGAGGCTGTCACCTCCCTGTTACCCCAAGGCTTTGCATTTGATGCTGTCCATCAAAAACTTCACAAGTCTTTTCTTGGGAAAAAAAAAAGCCATCTGGAGCAAGGAGTGATTTCAGGACTCTGATGAGGACCAGGCTACAGAGCAATTATTTCAGGCAGTGAGCTGGAATAACCCATTGGGCATTCACAGGAAGCCATTCATCACCAGCTGGGCCTCATCTCGCAGCTCTCAGCCCTCAGACCCTGCACAAAGGTTTGGGGAACAGACACATTTCCCACCAACCCTGAGGTGACACCCTCAACAGCACAGAATCAGCCCTGGGCAAACCTGAGAGAAAAAGCTGAGCCACAGGACTCACCAGTGACAACTGACTGTGTCAGGGGATGGAGCACAGCCCCTGAACAGCCCCATGCCCTCCACAGGATGAGAATCCCTGCCAGGGTGACACAGGGTGGGCAAGCAAGGGGGGCAGGCACAGCGTCCCCCACCCATACAGCCCAGAAGCCAGCACCCAGCTACAGCTTTAGAGGGGTACAGGTGGTTCAGCTCCTCACTGAATCAAGACAAGCCAGCTGGATCAGGCTAGGGACTGACAAGAGCCATGGGGACCCACCTATGCCACACTGACAGGAGGGCCTTTCCCTCCAGAAAGTCCCAGGACATGGGCCAGAAAGCTGCTCTACACTGGTGCCTCAGTTTCTCTTCTTCATTCATCATTTCCTCTTTGGGGTTATGCATCAACACAGGAAGCTGCTTCAAAGACGTCAGGTTGGCTGAGAAATCACAACAATTTTTGCCTTTAATTGTGCAGTGAGCCCAGGCACCAGCCTGTCCATGGCATAGCACTGCCAGGGCAGCACGTGGCACGGGCTGCATGTACAGTGACTTGGCTCAGCCAGCCCTGTGTACGCCTGCATGGCTCCAGCTTTCAAGGATTACAGGTTAATAGAGTAAATCCACCTTTCCATGGAGCAGACACCTTCCCCTTTCTACATCTGCTCTACAAACCAGCAGGGCTGGACCAGGGTGGGCAGCAGAGGCAGTGAGTGGAAACATCTCCCCCTGCACTGAGACATGAGCAGAGTCTGCTGAGTTTTTGTCGCAGCAAAGGTCCTGTACTGGATTTTTGCTGTAAACCTCTCCCCAGACATGCCCCATGAAGCAGCCACAGTGATATCCCCTGGGACAGAGTAACTCACATGCTTACACAGAATCACTGGGTTGGAAGAGACCTTCAAGATCATCAAGTCCAAGCCATGCCCTAACACCTCAACGAAACCATGGCACCACATCCAATCTTCTTTTAAACACATCCAGGGATGGTGATTCCACCACACACCCTAGGCAGACAACTCCAGTACTTTATCACTCCTTCTGTAAAAATCTTTTTCCTAATATCCAACCTACATTTCCCTCGGTGCAACTTGAGACTGTCCTCTGTTCTGTCAGTTGCTGCCTGGAGAAAGGTCACCTCTGAGTCTCCTTTTCTCCAGGTTAAACAACCCCAGCTCCCTCAGCTGTTCCTCACAGGGTTTGTGTTCCCAGCCCCTCACCAGCCTTGTTGCCCCCTCTGGATGTTCTCAAGCATCTCAGTGTCCTTCCTAAACCTGGCTCATCTATCCAATCATTCCAGGTCTCTCTGCAGAGCCCTCCTCCCTTCCAACAGATCGACACACGCTCCCAGCTTAGTGTCATCTGCAAATTTACCAGTGAAAGACTGAATACCCTTATCCATGTCATCAATAAAATATTTAACAGGACTGGCCCCAGCACAGAACCCTGAGGGACACCACTGGTGACTGGCTGCCAGCTGGATGCAGCACCACCACTCTCTGGGCCTGGCCATCCAGCCAGTTCTTAACCCAGCAGAGTGCTCCTGGTGGGCCTCTCTCAAGGATGGAAGGGCAGAACTCCACCCATCTATTCCCTTTCACTTTCCCTAATACTCCTTAGTCTTTCTACTTCCTCCCTAGGCTCAACCACCAGCAAAAGATCATTCACCTGCTCAGAGGTGTAGGCAGGCTTCTTCTGCAATGCCCCCTGGGACCACTGATAACCTCAAACACTCCGCACAGGAAGGGGTCTGGACAGACACATCCTTTTTGGAGGGTTCTACCTGGCCACATACACTAACTGCGGCTTTTGATTGTGTAAAAACCATTACTAGCAAAAAAACCTAAAACAAACCAACCAACCAAATTGTAACAAACAATAACCTAAAAACCCCTCTAGCAGGAGGAAACCTGCAACCCTGCCTGCACAAACTGCTGCACCATGGCCAGAGAGAGACGTGCTGGGCCCACTTACCTGCTCCTGCTCCCTGCACTTCCCAGAGCCCTCTTTTAATCACCCAGCCCTGCGCCAGCCTGGCTAAGAACAGCAACAGCTTTCACTGTATCCAAAGTGTATCAAAAACCAGATTGCTGCTGGTAACTCTTGTGTCCCACTCCCTGATCTCTCCTTTGTTCTGCGCCCTCCTCCTTCAGCTCCATGTTGGCTGAGCTGCTTCTGGTCGACACCTCCACACAGAGCTCAACAAACACTAAGTACAGGAAAACAGTGATCTGAACAGCAAATGGTGCACGTTTAAGACAGTAAGGGAAGTTTATTCTAATATTTTCCATGGCCACATATAAAATAACAAATAAAACGCTACAGCTGTGCCTAGGGAAATGCTAGCTAAGGAACAGATGTCCAGGCAGAGGACTTTTTCCACAGAAAGGGGAAGTGATGCATTAAGAAATATTTTGCAGAAAATCCAGCAGCAGTTGCTCACTCCCATGGCAGCTTTCTTTTCCAGGAGATGCAAGAGGCCATGGCTCATTTTGAAAGCAGCTTTTGCTGCATGAAGCCCAAGACCCCTATAGCTTTGGATCAGCCAGCCTGGTTCCCCTCTAAGCCAGAAACCCAGCTCAAGAGCACAAGCCATCTGGGTATGGAATTAAACTGAAGCCCCTTGGCTTCTGAGCACACCCCAGTAAGAAAACACAGAGCTAAAGAGAGGTTTAAGAGAGCTTTAATAACAGAAGGTGCTGTGCTGGTTACAGACGACGTCCACGGCGACCACCCTTCCTGCGAGTGCTGTCGGAGGGGATGGGGGTGACATCCTCTGCAGGGAGAAAATCCAGAACACAGTCACCTTCCAGAGGTACCCCCAGAAACCACCTGGGTACAGCCATCACCCAGCACCTCAGCACTAGGACACAACAGGAGCTGCATATGGGCAGAAGGAACTCTCTGCAGAGTGAAGGTATTTGGGAACTTGCCACAGGCTGGGTACTTAGGGCTTAAATGTTTAGCAAGAAAAGATTCCCACCCCACTTAAACCAAGCAGCCAAAGCATTTCAAAAGAAACACAGGTTGCTTGAAGAATTTTCAGCACAACCACACGAACGCATCTTGTGACATCCCCATGAAGGTCAGGACTCTCCCTACAACAGCTGGAGAACTCCATTATTACTGAATCACCAAGACCAACATGGTATTTTCAGGTGTCAGCCATGTGACATCAGAGGAGCAGCAGCATCCTGCCCCAAGCTGAGGTTTGTCCTGCACAGAAACCTGGGTTCTGAGTACTGCTCTCCACCTACTGGTGAATTGTCAGTTTAAGAATCTGTTTACATGAAATCCTTTCATGGGTGCCATCGAAGTGGCCATGAAGAACATCCCAAAATTAAGATCAAGCAGCACAGATGCCTACAAAGCTCATTTCACTGAATAATCCCTTTTTTCCTCACTCACCAATGCGGCCAATCTTCATTCCAGAGCGAGCCAGAGCTCTCAGGGCTGACTGGGCACCAGGTCCAGGAGTCTTGGTCCTGGAGGGAAGTCAGAAACCAACAACCCCTTTAATGACCCAGAAGCTGAACACAGTTTACAAACAGCCAGCAATACGAAAGTCACACTTTCCCCTGCCAAACCACTCTCCTTGTGTTCTACACCCATTCACCATCAGTCCCCACAGCCATGTCCCCATCAGTGCTCCAGCCCTCCTGCTGTACCTGTTGCCCCCAGTCGCACGCAGCTTGATGTGCAGGGCGGTGATGCCCAGCTCCTTGCACCTCTGGGCAACGTCCTGGGCTGCCAGCATGGCTGCGTAGGGAGAGGACTCGTCCCTGTCGGCCTTCACCTTCATCCCACCGGTCACACGGCAGATGGTTTCCCTACAGAAGGAAAAAGGTGATGTTCAGTAGAAAGCCATTCCTAGTTCTTCCCCCAAACCAGAATCTGGGTACAGTCAGAATCTATTATTTCCAATGTTACCACATCAATAAGCCACACACTACCCTGAACACCACCGTGATCAGAAGAGCTCACCAAGCCATCCAGTTCAAGTATGTGCACCATGCACAAAGCTCAGTGGAAACTCAAGGATTTTGGTGGAACCTCTTGCCAAACCCAGTCTGAACTTTCACACCCAAAGGAGCTGGGTACTGCAGTGAGATCATGCCTGTCCCATACTCACTTGCCAGACAGATCAGTCACATGGACGAAAGTGTCATTGAAGGAGGCAAAGATGTGGCAAACGCCAAACACATTCTCTCCTTCAGCAACCTGTGGTCCCAAGCTGATGACCTGTTCTTCCTTCTTCTCCTTGCCCTTACGAGGTGCCATTTCTGAACAATAAGAGACATATGAGTGTTCGTAGTTTTTAAGCATCATTACAGGATTTTATGAAATTCCTGCTATTTCAACCTTCTACCAAACAAGAAAAATGAGTTACCACTGGCAAAACACAGGCAAATTTCTTATAAACCCCAGAATTCTCAGCTCTGCTGCATCCTGGCACACAGGTCATCACTTACAGCTGTTTAGTGAAGTCTTTCCTGCTGCACTTCATGGCAGCTAATGTCCCCAGGCCCACCACAGCAGTGCACAAAGGCACTCCTTTCCTTGATAACCAGCAATGCTACTTCCCCTTGTTTATGTGGGTTTATGGAAAGAAAACACCAAACCACTTACTACAGACCCAGTATTATCAGTAAGCCCCAAGTCTGCAGACCTTTTAAGTACCAGCTTGGATTCTCCCATGTTATTGGTTTCCCAACCACATCCTTGGGACCAACCCAGATAAGTCTCCTGCTCCTGAAGCCCACACCCAGCGATGGGAGACAGCAGGGGCAGCACTCGGCTGTGCTCGGCTTGACGGCCGGAGATCCTGTGCATCCGCTCCCAAGCACAGAAGAACGGTTCCCTATTGCCCTCTCCTGCCAAACTCCTGCTACAGCCGGCGCCATGCACAAGAGAGATGTCCGGCTACTGCGCCGAGGTAATCAATCTCAACACAACCCACGGTCACCCTCGGCGGTGCCCTGTCCAACAGCGCTGAGCACTGTAGTATCAATTTACATCAGTGTCTGCGCGGCCACTCCGAGAGCACCACATCCCCTTCTCGACACATACATGGCGCACGGGCCCCACGGAC